AATTTTAAGAACACAGTGAATATAATTTATTTACGCTAAGTCCAGTTTTTAAATAGTTATTTTATTTAAGAAACGAATTAAACACAAAGTTAAAAAGGTAATATCAAAATGTAACACAAAACAAAATTAAATCGTACAAAGACACTCGCGTCCAACTTCCTGACACGTAACTCGACGTTTTTTCGACAAAACGTCAAGTCTCGTCCAACCCCCCTATACTTTTCATGTTTCCATATTTATATTCTTTTTCCCACCATTATTAATTTGGATAAAACTTGGATAAACTTATTAAACCTAAAGATAGAATAATTATTACAGGAGCTGATAATACGGAGTTGGAACAGTTAGGAAGAATAGACTTAGAACTAAAAATAAATAATTATTCACATTTCATTAATGCATATGTAATTATAGGGCTTAATTGTAAATTATTATTGAGTAACGATTTTAATATTGACAATCAATTAAATATTAATTTTAAAACTAAAGAAATAGTATTTAGTAAACAAAATAATTCAGTTAAAATGAACGAAATTTGGTATAATTACAATAAAACATGTAATAATGTAATAATAGCACCAAAAACTAAAAGGAAAATAACGATTAATGTGACGCGAGAAAATAAAACAGATTTGGCTGTTATAAAACGCTTAGGTAGGCAGAAAGGCTTGAAACTAGAAACTAAAAAATTACAAAAAGTGAATGAGGTCACTGTTTACAATTTTTCAAATCGACATAGTACTATACATGAAGGTTTTATTATGGGAGAATTACTCGCGAACGAAACAGAAGCTAATTAACTACAATTAATAGTAATAATTAATAAAAATATTTTAATTTATAATTAATTATTCTCTTCTTTCGCTTAAATATATCTTCATTCTAACTTCACACATCTTACGTTTACATCAATTAATTTATTTACGCTATCTACCATCACCATACACTTTTTATTGATTATTACAATAGACTTTTTAATTCCTAATCAGTAGAAATAGAGCAAAACAAACAAAAACAATACTACGATAAAACTTATAATACTGTAAATTATTTACCTGGACAAAAAGTCTTTGTCAAGTTTAATTTTCAAACACCAGGTAATTCAAAAAAGTTAGTTTATAAATACAGGGGACCATTTAAAATAATAGAAAAGAAATCTGATGTAAATTATAAAGTTGCTTTAATTCTAAATAGTAAAGAAGTCATTGACACAGTACATGTACAAAGACTCAAACCTTGTCATGAACGCGATATAGATAACAAAAATAAAAAAAAAATTAACTATAAGCATTTATACTTCATTATAAATATTTGAAATTCGGTTTTATTTTAAGAAAAATATTTAATTATAATGTATAGTAATAATATGGCAGTAAATAAAATGGGAAATAGCCGATTTTAGCTTCGATGCGAAGCTAAGAAGGTATTAGTTTTACTAAGATTTTTTTTTTTTTTTTTTTTGTGTCTGTTACCACTTTTTCTCAGCTCTCACCGAACCGATTTCTTTCAATGATACGTTAATACTTGATACGTTATCGTATCTAGTCGAAGACATTACCCTCAAAAATTGAAAAAAAATCCGTCGTTCCCCGTAAATGGGGGAAACCTCCGAAAAAATGGCTAATTTTCGAAATTTTTTCAATTTTTTTTACTAAAAACTGCCGTAACTTTTTAAATATAAACATATCAATATAATTCTTTTTTTTATAGATGCATGATGTCATTACCTATCATTTGGTATATTTTTTTTATAAATCTGACTTTTTACCTGCCCACAGGGGGAATTTAAAATGAAAACTTTTTTACAAAAAATTAATTTTTTCAACTTAACTTTTGAAAGTGTTCCGGAAGGTCTGACACTTTTATATATATCTTAAATTAAAGCTAATGTAATATTCTTTATCGTGAAAAAAAAAATTTCGGACTTTATTTTATCTTCAGGGTGAAAATGGCTACCGAATGCTATTTTTGTGTGAAAATTTTCGATTTTGTATTTCACATTTTTAACTTAATTATGCTATAACTTTTTGAAAAATGTATGGATCATTACAATTTTTTTATGAGAAGTAGAATTTATATAGATCTTTCATTCGACATACTTTTTTTTTTAATCGGACCATTTCCCTTAATACAGGGGGGATTCAAAACATAAAAATGCATATAGAAAGTAGAACTTTTTCAACTTAACTTTTGAAAGTGTTCCGGAAGGTCTGACACTTTTATATATATCTTAAATTAAAGCTAATGTAATATACTTTATTATGGTAAAAAAAAATTTCGGACTTTATTTTATCTTCATGGTGAAAACAGACATTAAACTTAATAAAAAAAATACGATTTTTGTAAAAAAATTCTTTTTTATATTTTTAACTTTATAATGCTATAACTTCTCGAAAGATGTATGGATCAATATAATTCTTTTTTTTATAGATGCATGATGTCATTACCTATCATTTGGTATATTTTTTTTATAAATCTGACTTTTTACCTGCCCACAGGGGGAGATTTAAAATGACAACTTTTTTACAAAAAATTAATTTTTTCAACTTAACTTTTGAAAGTGTTCCGGAAGGTCTGACACTTTTATATATATCTTAAATTAAAGCTAATGTAATATACTTTATTATGGTAAAAAAAAATTTCGGACTTTATTTTATCTTCATGGTGAAAATGGCTACCGAATGCTATTTTTGTGTGAAAATTTTCGATTTTGTATTTTCCATTTTTAACTTTATTATGCTATAACTTTTTGAAAAATGTATGAATCATTACAATTTTTTTATGAGAAGTAGTATTTATATAGATCTTTCATTCGACATACTGTTTTTTTAAATCGGACCATTTCCCTAAATACAGGGGGGATTCAAAACATAAAAATGCATATAGAAAGTAGAACTTTTTCAACGTAACTTTTGAAAGTGTTCCGGAAGGTCTGACACTTTTATATATATCTTAAATTAAAGCTAATGTAATATACTTTATAATGGTAAAAAAAAATTTCGGACTTTATTTTATCTTCATGGTGAAAACAGACATTAAACTTAATAAAAAAAATACGATTTTTGTAAAAAAATTCTTTTTTATATTTTTAACTTTATAATGCTATAACTTCTCGAAAGATGTATGGATCAATATAATTCTTTTTTTTGTAGATGCATGATGTCTTTACCTATCATTTGGTATATTTTTTTTATAAATCTGACTTTTTACCTGCCTACAGGGGGGGATTCAAAATGACAACTTTTTCACAAAAAATTGACTTTTTCAACTTAACTTTTGAAAGTGTTCCGGAAGGTCTGACACTTTTATATATATCTTAAATTAAAGCTAATGTAATATGCTTTATCATGAAAAAAAAAAATTTCGGACTTTATTTTATCTTCAGGGTGAAAATGGCTACCGAATGCTATTTTTGTGTGAAAATTTTCGATTTTGTATTTCACATTTTTAACTTAACTTTATTATAACTTTTTGAAAAATGTATGAATCATTACAATTTTTTTATGAGAAGTAGTATTTATATAGATCTTTCATTCGACATACTGTTTTTTTAAATCGGACCATTTCCCTAAATACAGGGGGGATTCAAAACATAAAAATGCATATAGAAAGTAGAACTTTTTCAACGTAACTTTTGAAAGTGTTCCGGAAGGTCTGACACTTTTATATATATCTTAAATTAAAGCTAATGTAATATACTTTATAATGGTAAAAAAAAATTTCGGACTTTATTTTATCTTCATGGTGAAAACAGACATTAAACTTAATAAAAAAAATACGATTTTTGTAAAAAAATTCTTTTTTATATTTTTAACTTTATAATGCTATAACTTTTTGAAAGATGTATGGATCAATATAAATCTTTTTTTTTGTAGATGCATGATGTCTTTACCTATCATTTGGTATATTTTTTTTATAAATCTGACTTTTTACCTGCCTACAGGGGGGGATTCAAAATGACAACTTTTTCACAAAAAATTGACTTTTTCAACTTAAATTTTGAAAGTGTTCCGGAAAGTCTGACACTTTTCTATATATATTAAATTAAAGCTAATGTAATCTACTTTATTATATAAAAAAAAATTTCGGACTTTATTTTGTCTTCACGGTGAAAATGGCTACCAAATGCTATTATTGTGTGAAAATTCTCAATTTTATTTTTTACATTTTTAACTTTATAATGCTATAACTTATTGAAAAGTGTATTGATCAATATAATTTTTTTATGGGAAATACTATTTTTTAATAATCCCTTTTTCATTCGACATACTTTATTTTAATCAGGATATTAATAAGGAACTAGCAGTTTATGATGCTTTTGGAATAATCCACCAATTTTTTAAAATTAAACACTATCTAAAGATTTGCATCGAAGCGTTTTTTTTTTTATAGTGATTTTAATCACTGTCAGATAACATTATACTTGATCCAACTATGCCGCGACCCCCCTGTGCTGGGTTTTTTTTTAAACTATAGGACACATTGTTATTCTATTTTTTCTTTTAGATGAAATTCCTGTTTGCAATTATATTACTAACAATCAAAATACAAAAATCACTTGAAGCAAATCTTGCTGTAACTATTTTTTCTGGCGCCTTCTTCGATGAAATACCGGATACAATTTTATACGACAAAAGTATTCCTTTAATTTATACCCAAAGATAAGTAAAACGAATGAAAATGAACAAAATAATTATTTAATCGAAAAATACTGTGAAAGTAATGAAACTAATTACTGTAATATTATGGATGAGTCTCTAAAAATATTAAAACTAGTAGGCAAAAACATTAAGGAAAATAGTTTAGACATTTTTGAAAAATTTAATAAAATTACTAATAATATTAAAAAAAGAAGTTTTTGGAAATTTCTTTCATTTTTGTTGTAATGTGGCTAATGACAAACAACTTAAACAATTTTATACTAATAAAGTAGCACTAAAAGAGCAAATTAATAAATTTAAAGACGCGTTTATCTCCAACCATCCTGATTTAACAAACATAACCTCAGAACTTAATTCCTACACAAAGAGTACTAATTCAAAACTTGATATGGTAAAAGATTCATTTAAGGAATTGATTAAACATGAGAGCAATAATAAAAACTTAATAGAAACCACCAAAACTGAAAATAAATTTTTAGGTATTCAGGAGGTTGTCCATGATATATTAATAGCCTTACTAAGTTTAACTAACAACGAAAGGGACTCAAGCACTCATCTGCACTGTAAATTATAAAAAATTCCATCTAGAATAATCAACTCTGAAATCCTTTATACTGATCTCATAAAACTCGAAAAAGTTATTAAAAAAGATAGTTCTGCATTAGTAATTCCTATAAGTAACTTAGCAGTGTATTACAATTTACCTATTACAGAATGGTATAAATGTTCACGAATTATTTTTCTAAACAGTTCTAACAAAATTTTTTTCCTGATTTAATTTTTTTTTATGCTAAATATATATTATGTATAACATTAAATCTTGTACGCATTCTATGCTTAAATCAGACAGTGACGTTTAATTATGTTATTCATAGCTTCGTCAATATCACTAAAATATAACTGAAATCCATGGTTTGACATTTTTTCTGAAGATACCACTCTATCTTCTAAAAGGTATTTTGATCGTTCTGATCCAAAGATTAATTTTAAAAATCTTTCAGAATAATGAAAATTTATGCTACGATTCATTGCTTTCCCTAAACTAGTTGATAATTGAAAATTGGTTATGATCTAATAAAAAATTCAATCAGTAAATCAGTATATAATTAAATCAGTAATATTCTTATAAATACATGTGGTGATACGCCATTAAATATGCCTTCCATTTTTGAACACTGTATACAATGTATTACTAAGCTACATAAATCGTCCATGTGTATCCATGGTTGATGGTGACAACCATTACCCATAGTAGCCCCAAAACCAAAATAAAATGGAAAATATAAACCTCGAACATATCCACCATTACAGTCTAAAACTGTTCCTATCGAAGATAAATATACTGAGTGATTAACTTATTATGATCACTAGATTTCTCTTAAAATAATAATTTAAAAAAAATATATTCTGAATCAAAAAAAAGAATGAGGGATGGAGCTAAAAAATATTTTTCTACTTATGAATTAAGAAATAAATATTACTCTACAAGGCCAAATTTTTTTTTCTTCGAATATTTTTAGAGAAATTTAGAGCTTAACCATAAAACTATTAATGTGAATAATTTCTTGAATCGTTTATCATTAAAACCAATAGTCAATTATGAAACAAAACTAATAAACAATTAAAAATGTTTTTAAATTTACCTGATCTAATCGTTACTTTTCTAACTTGGCTTGAAACTTCACTTGCAACTTTTTCACATTCACACCACAAAGTGGAAAAAAAGTTATTTGGTTGTTTAATACAAGGAGTACATTCTGTACTGATTGTATTTTCAGGATAAATATCTTTAAACAAAAATAGATAATGGTAATAATATTAGCTAAAAATATATTTTACAATTGTCAAAGATTATTGATTAAGTTAATTAAGACACGGCCCTTGATAGAGCACTATTCATCTACAGTAATTAGCATGTTATTCGGTCGTAGTTATTAGTTGTTTATTGTCTTTAATATCAGTGTTAACTTTAATACTATGTTCGCTGGTTGTTAGATAAAACAAAACAGAGACCTGTTCTATCTGACATTTAAAAATATATAGAAAGTTTAGAACTATAAATATATAAAGAATAGTGAAATTTAACAGATTCGCATCTAAGCATTTTGTATGATAGTCATGTTAATCACTGTTAGATATCATTTATACTTGTCCCAACTATGCCGTATCCCCACTACATCGCGAATGTGCTGAGTTTTTTTTGTAATTATTCTGTTTAATAACCTTTAACCTTTAACCTGAATTATAAAGTTTTCAAAATATAAATCATATATAATAAATATTGTATAAAAATTTCAAAAAATGTTAATCCTCTCCAATTTGGCGAACATTATTTGGTTTTAATATATATTACGCAATACGTTTGTGTTCATTACAAAACTACTGTAGATTAATCAAATAAAATAAACTTTAATTCTACCCTTGATAAAATCACGGTGTTGTGATTTATTATTCAACACCTTCCTTATTGTGTTAACTTCTGACTAATTTGAAATAAAAATAAATTAAAATAATTCATTTACATACCAATACTAGTCATATTGATGTATACTTCCGGCTTGCATTCGGAATTATTTATAACATCAGTAAGAAATGCAGTTGTTCCGACTCTACTTATTCTTATTTCATCTTTGAATGACTTATTGAATAATTTTAATGGGTTCATTATCTTTTCTCCAGCTAAATTTATAACACATATGGTATTTTTTGGAAAACCATATTTATATATATCATCCTGAATTGTAAAATGAGAAAAAATATTAAACATGTAAAACGCACAGAATATACTACCCATGTTAAAACATGTTTTTCATATGTTCCAACTCTTGATATTATCTTGACATCATACTTTTTGTTATTTTGTAGTAATAATGATCTTAATCGGTTGCCAATAAACCCTGTACCACCACCTATTTAGTATACATGGCTTACAATATAATGTAGTTCAACAATATATGTATAACATACTTATTTGTGTTATTATACTTAANATGATATTGATATTAACTACTATCATAACATGAAACTAAAAAGTGAAAAATAAATATAGTTTAAAAAAACTAAAAAACACGCTTTTAAAGCACATCGAACTAAAAAGTTAAAAATAATTTTTAAAATTAACTTAAAACAATAATGAACGAAAAATACTAGAATTATTGTGAAAAAAAGCGTCGGGCGCTCAATATACAAAAAATATGGCACAAAGCACCGACGCTTTTTTTCACAATAATACTAGTATTTTTCGTTCATTATTGTTTTAAGTTAATTTTAAAAATTATTTTTAACTTTTTAGTTCGATGTACTTTAAAAGCGTGTTTTTTAGTTTTTTTAAACTATATTTATGGCGGAGGGAACATTATACGGCAGCAGAGGCGTCGGCTGTAGGAATATATAAATGAATATTAACATATACGCATATACGTACAAATATTAATATATAATCTTCGCATAATATCGCGGCACTTTCGCTGGCATCGACGACGCGTTGTCCGGCGTGTTCCTCGGACGTCAACAGGTTAGCAGCGTTGATAGCAACAGTGCGCGAGTGCGGATCGAACCGTAGACGTTGTCACTTTGACAACGGGAAGAAGACTACGGTATCATTTTCGGCGGAATGTCGTCGGGCGTGCGGCGCTTGCTGGACTTTGCACAGCGGCGTATAACGCGAGGTGTTGGTCAGTCAAATACTCATAATAGGGCGACGGCTGATAAAGGTGGCACGAGTCGTGGGGCATTGTGTATAATGAAACGACGCGGGCCGTGTCAATTACAATAAAAATTTGTTATATATATACATAATTGATGACATGCGCGCGTCTACGGGTTAGAAAATATTGTTGTCTACGAGTGGTTAGCGGGGTGGGGCGAATGCGTTACAACAGTATAGTCTCAAGGTCATACACGACGGGATACGCGACATAATAACACGTGCCGCGTGGAGTTACAAACTTACAAACAACAAACAACAAACAACAACAACATACACGTGAAACTAATATAAGCGTGTTAAAACATATTAGTATGTATTATATTATATATATTATACTTATAATTTCTATAAAAACATAATAATTTCTTACCTATTACAATACAATCTTTATTATTATAAGTGTGAGAAAATTTTATTTGGCTAGTAAAATATTGTTTGTATTTCAGTAAACTTAATTTTGTTTTCAGTAACATTCTAAAATTTTGAGTAAAAATAAAATTAATTAATTATCTTTTGACATAGCAGTTTGTTTATAATCCTATAGTTAAGAACAATATTTAGATTACCTACAGTTTATTGTTATTATTATTATTATACACACGTTTCCCACATAACAGTTAAGATAAACAAATAATTTTAACGTCATTAAAATATATTATATTATTTTATTCTCAAATATTAATTTGTTATTTGCAAAATAGGATTTGAATTTGAAGGAAATTTTTTTTTCGGTACAATTATATATTTAGTTTGTAATGTTGCAGAATTTATACCAGTTTTCTTATTTTAAATCTTATCAGTTAGTGGTGTGTGCATTAGGTGTAAAGTATTGACAGTTGTGTATATGATAACCTCCAACAGTCAATCGATCCGATATCTGTCATACTATTGTCATTAACTGATCGTACACTGTGCACCTGTAAAAATTTCTTGTATTTCCCCCCAATTAACTTGATCAAGTTTTCAAGTGGTCCATTTTGGCAAGACATGTGAACGGGAGTAATAAAACTCGCGTTGATCGAAAATATTTTAATCAGAAACACAGGTATGATTTCACGGGGTTGACATTTCCTACACCCGTGTCCCAAATTAAAATATTTGAGCGACAAAATCCTAACGTGTCTGTCAATGTGTAGGTCTTGAAAAGAGACGACGTTAAGATAAAGTGGTTGGTGCATCCTCTAAGAGTCGCCGACCAAGAGCAACAAAATCATTTTGACCTGTTGTATATTGACTCTGAAAAATCATATTACGCGTACATTTCAGATTTTTCAAGGTTCGTGCGCAGCCAAAAAACCCAACATCATGGATTTTGTACCGCAAATACACTTGCAAACGTTGCTTCGCCAGATTTAATGATATGTCTAAAAAGCATATTCTTAGGAGTCACCAAGCGTTGGAGCAACACAAGTTGATATGCGGTAAGAACAAGCTTATTTTACCTGTTATGTCGGCAGAGGACAGTAAGGTCGAATTTGACGCGTGGGTAAAGACGCGACAGTTACTGTTCGTCATCTACGCCGATTTTGAGGCCTTACTGGAGAAAACAGACGATTGTATGGGTGCATACATTAGGACTGTGCACACACACCATCCATGAGTTACGGGTTCATGGTGAAAAAATCGGACGTTGTGCCCTCCGAGCTTCAACGTTCCCATCCGAATGTCTGCCGATGTTGTGCGCAGGCACGGGGAGAAAACGGTATGCGACTTATGCCGCACAGCATTCAAAGATTCCAATCCTAAAGTCGCAGACCACTGCCATTTATCAGGCCGATTCAGACAAACGTTATGCAATGCGTGTAACCTAAAAGTGAAGACGCTCAACTTTGTGCCGTGCTTCTTGCACAATCTTTCAGATTACGACGCGCATTTCATCGTCACTGAATTGGGGTACGACAATCAAAGAATTTCGGTCATACCGAATTCTGAGGAGAAGTATATTTCAATCACGAAACACGTGACCAATTACTTTTCCATACGATTCGTCGACACCTTCCGGTTCATGGCCACCTCTCTGTTCACCTTGGCCGGCAACCTAATGACGCCCGACTTCGTTAGATTTCGGGAGACGGCCAAGGTGTTCCGCCCGGAAGACATGCCGTTAGTGACGCGTAAGGGCGTATACCTCTACGAGTACACTGATAATTGGATTAAATTGGACGAAACGGAACTACCGCCTTAGTACGCTTTCTATAATCAGTTAAGTGAGTCGAATATCGATGATGATAGACATGCTACGGAGGTATGGAACCGTTTCGGCTGCTCAACGCTCGGTGAGTACAGCGACCTATATCTTAAGATTGACGTGTTATTGTTGGGTGATGTGTTTGAAAACTTCCGCGTCATCTGTACTTCAACATACAATTTGGACTCGGCGCACAATTACACCAAGCCCGGTTTTAGCTTCGATTGTATGTTAAAGTACACTGGGGTGAAGTTGGAGCTCTTGAACGACTACGACATGCTACTGATGGTGGAACAGGGCAATCGTGGTGGGCTAGTGCAGGGCGTCAAGCACTATGCAAAAGCAAACATTGACAAAACGCCAGGATACGATCCTACAAAGCCTGAATCACATAGCCCAAATAGCAATGAAATATTTCTAGAATATAACCAGAAATTTTTAAATATTCTCACAATGTTCTCAGAATATACTTTGGCAGCGAATATTACATTCTCACAATATTTTAAAGGTATATTTCTAAAATATTATAAAAAAATTATTGTGACAGTATTTTTAAAATATTTTATGAATATATTAAAAAAATACAAAAAATAAGCCCGCTTTGCGAGATTTGAACCCCGTACTTCAAGTGCTTTAGACTCGTGCGGTACCAATGACCTATAAGTTGCTAAGACTGTGAGAGGATAAAAAAGACTATTTAAGGTAGATCAAATGGTTATTTGTCTGTTAAGTCATTTTTCCCGTTTAAAAAAATTCAAAGTAAATACATCTTTATATTCAATTTAGATTAGATTCATATAATTTTTTTTGAAAATCGGCGATCCCATCTCCATGATCGCTCCTTGTAAGTTAGAAATTGACCTATATTGTTGATAATATAAAAATATTTTCCAACTACAATAAAAAAAACTTTTTAGAATTTTAAGTTTCATAGGACAATAATAAGATATAATTGCGCTGATAAAACTAAAAAAATTTTAACTCTAGGCCTGAAAATAATAGCAACAAGGTTTTTTTTTACTGTCCCTGACTTACTTAGCTTAATTGAATTAGGTTAATTAAAATTGATACTAATTAGAGAAAATGGCTGAATACTTATTAAGGATTTAGGAATATGTATTTATAATACATAAGTATTATATAACTAGATACCAATAACATCTAAAGATGTAACTTAAGGGAGAAAAGAAGATGGTTTGTGTCTATTAAGTTACTTCAGTTGGCCAACAAGATATATATTTATAATATTTAAAAAATTATATTGATAATATATTCAACAAATAATATTTCGAGTTAAATATTCTATATTTATTCTAATTAATATATTTTCATAATATTGTTATTGGCTGATGTGACATCTGTACTTCAACATACAATTTGGACCCGGCGCACTATTACATCGCGTCTGGTTTTAGCTTCGATTGTATGTTGAAGTATACCGGAATGAATCTGGAGCTCTTGAACGATTACGATATGCTACTGATGATGGAACAGGGCATTCGTAGTGGGCTAGTGTAAGCCGTCAAGCACTATGCAAAGGCCAACAATCCTAAGTCAACCGATTACGATCCGTCAAAACGAAACTCATTGATCGTGTACTAAGACAGTAAGTAATCTATACGTATTTATATATATATATATATATATATATAAACGTGCAATAATTGAGCGGTGGTTTAAAAACGATTAATGTATATAGGCAATAACTTTTACGGGTGGGCTATGAGTCAGCCCATGCCGCACAGTGGCTTTTGGTAGTATAAAGGAGCAGACCCTCTGGCTGACCTCCAATCGTTGTCGGACACTGGTTATACGGGGCGTATATATGAAGTGGACGTATCGTATCCACAAGATTTGCATGACTAGCACAGCGACTTGCCGTTCTAGCCTAATAACGATATACCTCCGGGTTCGAAAGAGACCAAACTCATGGCCACTTTGAAACCCAAACAGCGGTACGTCGTTCACTATGTCAACTTAAAACAGGCAATCGCACACGGATTGCAAGTCGATAAAGTATGTATAATAAACCTATAAACTATAAGCGATGATACTATTATAAATATTTCTACTGTAGGTGCACCGCGTTTTAGAGATTCAACAAAGTGCTTAGTTGAAA